AACAAAAATACAAAGTGTTTCATATGCGGTTTGTTCGCAAACATTTCAGAGTATCACTTAAATACAGTTGGCTTGACTTTCCTCTTTGACAGAATAAATAATTGTTCATCGCCTCCAGTTCCTCAAAATAAGACATCTTCATGTTCGATCATGAGCTGCACTACCAGTTTCTGCTGCCTCATGTCGTTCAGAGTTGTCAAAGCGTTCTGCTCCGGAGGCTGCATAAGAGTCGGGCCGAAGACAATCCCCAGGTTCTCTGCGTTCATTAGGTTGTACTTTTCGAATGTTGTTACCCTGGAAGATGCATCAAAACGACAGAGAGATTTTAGTGTTGAAAGGTTTGATTTCGGGGTTGATTCTCCTCAGACTGGCGTCTTTTCAGCATTTCCAATGCCATTACCATACAAGTAGACTTTCAATTTGAGTAACGTGTTTTTTTTTAATACATATTTTTCAATGAACCATAGACAAATTACCATGCATAAAGCAGCAAAAAGGCCATATCTTTTACCTCCAAAATTATTTGAACCCATTGCAAATAGAGAGTCAGTGAGAATATTTTAAATTCTATACCTAATTCGAAAGTGTTTGTGCTGCTCTAAAGCATCCTACTTAACCAGATTAATTGGGAACAGGATTGATTTTTTTTTTCTTTTTTTAGCAGCTCAGCAAGTAAACACAGCAGCTCTCTGCAGCTGGTATGAGGAAACCTTTGGCTTAAAAGCAGCTGTGCATTGTGGATTGCTCACAGCTCAGGCTTCGCTAAAACAGGCTCTGTTTTAGCGTGACGGTGACCCAAAACACACAGCTAATGTGGGGAATAAATAGTGAGCCAACAGAAATATGAACTATTTCAAGTGGAACAGCAAAGCAAGTGTATTGTGGTCGATAATCTGTGAAGGGAGCTAAACATCAGGATGATGTTACATTCAGAAAGGTATGGCTGTATGGCAATGGCATGGCAATCATTTATTAAAATTGTAATAAAAATTATATATATATATATATATATATATATATATATATATATATATATATATATATATATATATATATATATATATTTTTTTTTTTCAAATAAAATTATATTCTTATTATATTATCTCATGGGGGATCGATGATGTGGCGTTTCCAATCAGACAGCAACTTCTTTGTTGACAAAAAAGTAACCTTTTAGGACCTTTTTGAGTTCAACTGCACATACCATCGCTAACCTCTAAATGTGAACAAGCATAATTTTGACAAACAGCATGCAATGCAAAAGCAAGATGTATGTAAATAAAATGTGTGTATACAAGTTAAGCTTACAGCGGGAAATGTCTTTCAGGCAAATTGTGGTGTTGCAGTGATTACAGATGTAACCGTTTTAATACACGAGCTAACCTTTTGAGGTGAGCCATCAGGTAACGTAAGGTTTCGTAGTGCGCCGGGGGAAGCTGCAGCAATCCCTCATGTATCGCCTCCAGTCTGGATTCGGCATTTGGAAGTCCTGCAGGAGCCAAACGATAAGTATATCAAAGCGCCGTCAGGCAGCACCGGCACAGCAACGGCATGGAAATACCACGGAGAGGATCTCTTACTTGCAGCTTGAATAAATTTGGAGTACAAGTCAAATGTAATGACTGGAATGGGAAGGTCTCTCAAGTAGAGCTTCAAAGCACCAGCAATTATGTTGATGTCTGCATAGGCACTGGCACTGATATCCGCCTTCTCACCATCTGTTGTCAAGAAGCAAACAGTGCATGCAGGGGGTTCAAAGGCTGAATTTGGGACAAACGAAAACTGAATGTTCTTGTTTAAACCGCACAATACCAGAAAGCGTTACTTTGTGCAGAACTGCCGCGGAACGCGCCTCTTATTTTAAAGTGAAAACCCCGAGACATAAAATATTACAGAGTTCCCGAGGCAAAGACATTCACGAGCAACAAACCTCGGTCAAAAGCGAGTCGAACGTCCTCAATGTGCTCTGAGAAGCCAGACACTCTGTACAGACCCTCAGATTTCATACCTGCAAGAGACGATTTATAGATGGATCTCAGTGTCAGAAAATATCATTGCAACACAAGGATCATTGGGGTTTATTTTTATTTCAAATAAGTACATTTAAAATTTTTTAGTGCTTTTTGGAGAAAAAAATAATCGACAAAATAACAGAGTAGACAGAAAGATAAAATATGTACAATTTGGATTTCTAACAAAATGGGAGACTAAACAGACCCTTGTTTTCAAGTTCACTTCTTGGAAAAACATGAATGAAAGAGATCCCTAGCATAGAGTGAAGGTGATTACAACTGCAAAAACGTTAATACCTTTAGTTTTTAGCACTTATTCAGTTAATCTTATAAACCTGGTGGTGACGTAAGGCCAAAGATGATCAGAAATGTCTGAAGCATCCCACTGCAAAACCTCCTACTACATTCTTTATTGTACATGGATCCACTGCAAAAAAGTGCTTACAGCTGTGCCATAGCAGCACCTGGACAATTCATCTTTAATGACAGCAGCCATAGGAGATATGACTTAATCTCAAAATACGGTGTGAGGAAAGCACAAAAAAGGGAATATTTACATCCAAGAATAAAACTTCATCCTTAGAAATGACCAAAATTATTTTAAATTAGATGTGCAACATGATTACTTCTCAATGTTACATGAGAAGCAAACATACTCTGAGATGTACCAAATTTATTTACAGTCAGCATTTATTGTTGACAGTTTAATATCATCTCAATGATATGAGAAAATTTTAAAAAAGGCTCAAAGAACAAACTGAGTAAAAAAAAAAAGGTAGTCTGAAGTTTGATTTGACAAGTACTTTTGGAAAAAAGAAGAAAATATGTGCCAAGAGCTGAAACAGAAACATCTGGTCAACATTTTAATATCTTAGAGTCACTTCTAGAGACTCCGGAGAGCCTCTAGATTTTAGAAGTTCAGCTATTAAAGGACAGTTAAGAAAGAGATGTACACATGCTAAAAGTGTACATCTTTTAGCATGTGTACCTCGGTCAAAAGCGAGGTACACATCTTTACCTTAATCTTTACCTTAAAGATTAAGGTAAATCTTTATTTACCTTAATAAATCTTTATTTATTAAGGTAAATAAAGATTTACCTTAATATAAGGTAAATCTTTATGAAGAGGATAAATAGCAGCATTTTTAAATGGTGGTCAAATAAGTTCTGGATCACGGCTCATAGGGTTTTTAAGAGTTGTCTTGGCACATACCTCTGAGTTCGATCTCTCGAATGCACATATCCACCACCATGGGTCTTGTGGTGTTGTGAGCTTTGACAAGGGTGGTGAGATCACAGCTGTACACTTTCTTAATCCTGCGCAGGTCCGGCTGGCAGTCACTGGGAACCAGTTTGGAGCACTGTTTGTGTACATTCAGGCCACAATCTAGCAGAGGAGAGAAAAAAAAATGAGAGAAACGCAAAGAGAAGGAGGGAGAGAGGGAGAGAGACAGAGATAAGCCTCTAGCAGATAGCACAATCTTTGCACTGAGCTTAAAGACAGCAGTTTGAAAAGCTTTCCCAGAGCCAGTGATAAACTGCGCTGTCAGACATCGCAGCTGCAGCTAAGCTGTCCCAGTATGCTGCGCCAAAGGTAGATAATAGCGGATATAACAGCATGGCGGGGGTGTTCTTGTTGTAGTTTTAGTCACATTGAGCCTTTTAGACAGCTGAGAGCGAGAGAGCCGCGGCTGCTCGAGTTACAGAAGGTAAAAGATGGGTGTTCGCCTAAAATCGCTCGTCACAAGAAGTCTCAGATGGGTCCCTGCTGGATTTCTAACCGCAGAAAGACCGAGGGAGGAGAAAAGAAGCAAAAAATAAAGGCTGGTCAGAGTGTGAGAGAGAAGAAAGAAGTTTCTCCAGTTTCCCACCACACATGAGGTGTCTGATGATGCTCGTGTTTGCTTCAGGCTTATCAGCGTGGAAAGTATTGCAACAACAAACGATCTGTTGGGTGGAGGGCAACCAAGGCCACCGATGTAGGTTAAAAATAGTGTCCTAGCAATGAAGAAATCCCATGACCTCTGACAATCCATTATCTCCAATATAAAACCAATCACTTTGTTCTGCCACTATATTTAAAATAAGATGAGAAACCTGCATTTTTTTTATTTTTTTTTTTTTGCTAGTTGAGAAATTGAAAGCCTTAGTAGCTTTTTAAACCTTTAACAGATGCGTCAAAAACAGTTTCCTCGTTATCTTCATGGAAATCACAGGGCAACGATGTAGCAAAAGTGACCTAGTACACATATATTCTGTGATTTCTGTGTATCAGTATCATCAGAACACACTATGCTTTATGAAGAGATACAAGTTTGAGGCTGAATATCATGATAAGGCATTTTCTTTTTTTTTCTTTTTTTTTTTTAGTTTTCAAGCTTCCTGACAAATCATACATACAGTTCAGTTTGTGGAAAATATCACAATTTAATATGGCAGAAAGAACATAAACATTATAAATTCAGAATTTCAACAGAGAAATCAAAAACAAGTTATGCATCATCTAAAAAAAAAAAAAGATACTGAAATGGAAAAGCTGCACAGGAGTAGCTATGCTGTGTAAAAAACAAAATATTATCGTAAAAAGTATTAAATCTGGTTCACGGTCACCATTTCTATCCTTGCACATGTCAGTTTTCTTTGTTGATTTAGATGAACACTTTAAATACCACTAAATGTTCACTGAATCTCTTTTTGTTGCTTTTTACCGTGTTGTTTAAATGAGACTAATACTGGTTCTTTCAAGACTTAGTTACTCAGTGATCTTTATAATAATGGGCAACAATGTCTAACAATAATTTGCTTTCTTTTTCTAGTGAGTAAGTTAAAGAGAGGGCTAGAGTCAGAGAAATAATGACCGAGTCTAAATAAGAGCAAATATCACGAGTAGCAGAACTAATAAGAGCAACTCTCTTCAGTGCTGAAGTCGCTGCTGAAGGAAAATGCTCAAAGTTACTAATCTTTATCAGTGATGTGTTTAAAATAAAGTCAGATAAAGCATAGAAATGTAAGAAGTGCTCAAAATGAAAACGACTTTTTAAACTCATCTAACAAACAATCAGGCTGAAACAGGGAGGAAGACAAAACAGAAAATGAGTACAATATGGAGTACAGAGTTGATCTGTTTTGTTCTTTTGACTTCCTGTATGTCCAAGAGGCAGAATGTGGAAATCTTAGCAATAATATCAAAACGTTAATGTAAGGCTCTATAATGTCTACAGAAGACGCGCTGAGGTTGTTGTTTTATCTAAAGACAGTTTGTAAATGTGAACTAATAATTTTGTCTCAGTAAAACTGTTTTACCAGTTTCTTCTCTACTGAGCAGTAAGTAAGTAAAGACCACTTATCTCTGGACAGCTAGAAAAAAAAAAAAATAAATGTTCAATGATATTCCCATTATAGGCCTAAGAGAGAATTTTGAATTGCCCCAAAAGAATCAGTTTTGTTCAGACAGGTGCATCAGGAATCAGCACTTTTATGTCTCACTTGAAAGTGCTGATTACATAAAAGAAACAATGCAAAAAAGGCTACGAAAAGCTATTAAAAATTATAAATGACACATCCAAGAGAGGCCAGTGTTACCTACAGATAAAGCAATCAGTAATCCCACATTCACGTGTCTCAACGTTACGCAGCTTGAATGCTGCAGAATATATTTACCTGAGCAACGGACACCCTGGGCAATGAGGCCCCACATGAAGTTGGCACAGTACTCGCACCAGTGTGGCCCACGGAAGGTGTGTACCTGTGGTCAGAAATTTCATTATGTTACTCAGTGACCAGTTTAAACTGGGGGCCTTCCTCTCTGACATGGTAGACTGTCAACCCAAAACCACACCGGATGGAACCCCTCACTGACTGGGAGCATGTGTGTGTGTGTGTGTGTGTACACGGGGCAGATTAAAGGATTTATTACAATGCGTCTGGCATCTGCTGCTGGGCAATTGGATACATGCAGGCAAGCGCAGGGGCAGGCCCGAAAGTCAAAATAACAGATGTACACCCTCCCTGCACACTTAGATCACAGATAAGATCATGAAAGGAGCCACAGGCAGCCCCACATGCACATACACACACCTACACACGCACATTGAATAGGTATCGGTGACCTAAGGAGTGCAGAGGTGCAAAAAGCATGTGGCAGGTGGGTGGAAGATCGCTTCAAAGGAGAAGTGAACAAAAAGGTGGCAGTCATTATAAACTGCCAGTAAGTGAAACCAAAGAAAGTAATGCCTAAAATGTTAAAGCACCAAAGGCAAAGTATCCTGTTATTGTCTTGACAGAAAAAAAAAAAAAAAAAGAAACGTGCAGCACTTCAACACTCTCCATATGTTGTCAGCAAATCGGAATCATGAACCAAAAACGCCTCTAAAAGCTTTCAAATCGATGTTAATCAAAGTTTTCTGCTGTTAATGGGTTGTAGTGTAGTGCATCCATTAGTTCCCCTCTGTGCATATGAGTGTCAGCTGGTTGGGTTCTCATGAAAATGGCTGCAGATACATTCTGGAGTCTGTGACAGGACAGGCAAACATCCAGCAAAAACATGCACAGCGGATCCCAGACGTGTACACAAACCGGTATAAGATAAAAAAAAAAAAAAAACCAAGACCAGGATAAATAATTTCTAACGTTCATATTTAATGTGACATATATCCAACAAATAATATAAAAAGTAAAATAAACAGGGTAAGATAACTTTGTTCCTTTAAACTAAAAGTTTGTTGAAATATAAAACGTTTGCCATCAAGTCTTCTTGATTTCAAACTTGCTACTATCAGTAAAATTTGATGGAGCTGAAATAAACTTCATCTGTCTCAGAAAGAGTTTCAAAACCCTTAATCATTAGCGTTATGAACGATTACGCTTTCTTTAGCTGGAGTCGTTTTTTTTTGCAGAGAGACTACAAACACCATACCCACTGATAAACATGGTGGTGGCAGCATGATGCTGGATGAGGGATACTTCTTCAAAAGGACTTTGTTTTTAGTGAACTGCTGGGTCAAAACACCAGTGAGTTTTGACTCCAAACCTTCTTATGTTTGTTGAAAGCTATTTTTTTCAGCACCGCTGTTGGTCTGATCATACATCCAAATCAGCATCGAGACTTGTTGACATCACCATACATTCAAATCAGCTACAGGATGACATCATCAGAGGAAAAGTGATGTTTTGGAAAAGCCATGGCCAGAGTAGTGGCCAGTATCTATAATACTGGGTCACTTCAAAGCGTCTGTGCACAAAGAAATGTCCTCGCAATTTGACAATTTGAGGACTTTTGCAAGGTAAAATGAACCGACGATATTATCAAGGTTAAGATGTGGCATGCTTATAAACCGATGATAAAGACACTGAATACACATGTAAAAACAACATTATTACACAATTTCTTCCACGATTGTCAGTTGAATTGTACCAGATATATTCACATTAAACATAAAAACAGCTTAATAACGAAAACCTATTTTAACAGGTTTTAAAAAGTCGTATGTCCTACGTATCCACAGGATTTCTTCACCAAAATTTTTAAATGTTGAAAAGTCTTTGTTATTTATATAGTAAAAAAAAAGTTAACTATTAGAATTTAAAATTATAAATAACTATTATGAAGCAGATAAAAAATAAAAAAAAAGTCATTTTGTTTCCTCTCACAAAAATTGCTGCTTACCTTGAAGTTGTGAATCTTTTCATAGGAGCTCAGCTTCTCAGGCGTGTCTTTCAAGGCACTCCGTCGCACCACAGGTGAGGAGATCTGTGGACAGGAGGCCAGCAGTTTAATAGGCTTCCACAGCAGATTTCCCTTGCACCCAATCTTGACTCCCAGAGCCAACGCCAGCAGCTCTTGACGCCTCCTCTCCTGTCTTTTAGCCATGCGAGCAATCAGCTCCCCTTCTAAGCCCCCTCTGCTTGCTTCAGCCTCCATGCTTGACTGCACTGGGTCCAGGAGACTGTCCAAGTCTTCTTAGGGGAGCTCTGGAAGAGGGGGTGGGTGTGTGTGTGTGTGAGTGCTGTGCAGCAGATGCTGCTGGCGACAGCCCAGCACACAGATACAAAGTACACCCCACTCTGCTCTGAACAGGAAGAGCTACTGATGACGGTTAGCACCGGAGCTGACTCTGCATCTGGTCTGAGCCCAGTGGCAGCGGAGAGCAAGACGAGCAGGAGGAACAGGATTGGAAGTGGGCGGCCTAAGGGCAGGAGCGTGCCTCAGACAATGGCTCTCATTCACACGCCCAGAAAGGGGAGAGAGAAAGGAGAGGGAACAGCGTCCGCCGGGTTTGGATAAGAGATGTCGAGAGTGAGGTGCTGTCGGGATCGCTTCGCACAGCTCAACAGTTCTCTAAAGAAGGATCAACAGTTCAGACCCAACCTCCGCCCCTCACCCCTCGCTTTTTAGGACAGAGCTCTTTCCCCTTCCGGCCACACGCCACCTCACTTCGCTGGAGTTAGGACTCCATCCGCATGGGGTTCTCAGTCAGCGCGGGGTCGCTTCTAAATGGGTCACTTTGGTTGCTCGAAGACAGACACCAGTTTTTCAAAGCCGGGTCCTTGTAACAAAAACAGATCTTGACCTCCAGCTATGTCCGTCTGCTGGTGGAATTCCCCACGCTGCCGTCCAGACAGGATCTCACAGACTGACTGCAGATTGCTCCTGCCTGTCATGGTCTGCAGTCTGACACAGTCTACACTTCCATACAATTAACTCAGATTGGAAAAGGGATTACAGCCATAATCCTTGCACAAGGAATAATCCAGTAGTACCCAAATCTGAGGAAAAGCCCAATTGGACGATTATTTGCACGTCTCCAGGCATGTAGTTTTTTTTTTCTCTCCAGTGCGGGGCGAGGGGGTTGCTGCTGTTGTCTATGTAAATTCGAAACACACAGAAAGCACCACAAATACACGTCCTCTAAGGGAGGTTTTCCCTAATTAAAATAAAAATGCACAAAGGAATTTTTTTGGTGGAAGCTTTTTAGTGAACACAGGATAAGTAAGAATTACTAGGTTGCAATAACAACACTCCTCATTGTGTGTGTTGTTACTGAGTGAAGATGACTCAAAGACATCTTAAGTGTCAGCGAGGTATTTAAGCTGAGCACTGAGACACAAGAAGCTATTTAAAAGGAAACCGTAATTTCTGACTTGTCAAGACATGTAGGCAGAAAGAGAGAGAGAGAGAGAGGCAGAGAGAGAGAGATTAATGAAAAAGTGAAGAATACACAGCAAAGTGGCTGTCTTATCCGTTTGAGCTTTCAACTTCTGTCACACTTGGATTTGAGAAAGTTGGCAGTCATTTGGAAATGTCACAGTTGAGATATGAATCTACATTCTGTGGAAAAACCCATGGAGACATTTGGTTTCGAGATGCTTGCCATGCAAATCGCTAACATAGGATGGTGAACACAGTTTAATATGTCAGCTATGTAATGCCTTCATCTATGGAAAGGTCTCGTAATAAAATGGTGACTAGAAGCTCGGTTTGATCCATCTGAAGTTTAGAGGGATTTTAATGCAAAACATTTGAAAACAACCATAATGAAATAGAAACTGATGGATTAAGCACAGAGACTAATTGATCATGTTTTTAATTTCACAATTTTGTCTTAAATTACCAAAAGATGCATTAGTCAGTCCAGAATTAATAATAACCATCACCCAATCTCCCAACTGTCTTCTTAGTCCAAAATATTTGAATCACTTTCAGTTAAAAAAAACACAATTATTTTTACTCCATTTTTTACCCAAATACCATCTGGCTTTCAACCTACCCACCTAGTATTAAAAAACAGAGTTTAAACTTTAAAAATACTTTGCTGCACTCTTTACATATGTTACTTTAAGCATTTTCCACCATTGTCCACTTGCTTCACCTACGCTAGTAAAGATTCATGGTTCACAAATTACAGGAAATACCAGATAGTTTTTCTAAGTATTTGGACACCTGGATCAATGAAAAAGTATCCATTAAAACCCATAGATAGTGTTTACATGACATGAAGGCAAAACAGTGGGTGTCTCAGAAACGCACATCAAACGCGGTTTCTAAGTGTGTGACATCATGTGAAAATCAAAATATTATTGTGAACCTCGACAATTCTGGTTCACTCCCCATTACAAAGTACAGATGCTTCAAGGTTCCACAATCATAAGTTGAAACAATGATATTGAAATATTAAAGATAAACTGTCAGCACAAAAAAGAAAATTGCA